CCAGCCCCCAGATCGCTGGCCCGAGCCTGGCCGCGAGCCTCCCACATCCGCCTCCCCGAGGGGGCGGGCCTTGGACTCGGGCCGTGGGGGTCCCGCGGGGTCCGGCCCGGAGCCAGGGGGGCCGGTGAGCGACGCTGGGCACAGCCTGGAGGCGGTAAGCGGTGGGGGTGGGAGTGGGGGCCCTCTCGCAGCAGCCGAGGGGAGCAGCCTGGAACTCCGGGCGTCAGGGAGGGGACACCGAAGTAAGAACACGCCGGGGGGTGGGGGGCGAGGGCAGCTGCCTGTCCTTACCCCACTCTCAACCGGGGGTCCTCGGTTAATGAGGCTCAGCGAGGGCAGAGCCTGGGGATGGCAGGGTCCGGATAAATTTTGGCTCCGCCCTCGGGGGCTCCCCGCTCAGCCCAAACCCTTCAGCCTCCCCCCTCAGGCCCCTTTGCCTCGTCCCCTCCCCTTTCGCAGCCTCTCCCCGCAGGCGCTCAGCTCAGCACAGGGGTAAACAGGCCCACATGAGGCGGCTCCGGGTTAGTGGTGAGGACGGTCTGAGCCCCTCCGGGCTGCAGTGCTGCTCCGTGACAAGGACGCTGGGAGCTGCCATGGACTTTACCCTTCCAGGCAGGCCCCCACCCCACTAAATGGAGCTTTAGAAGTGGGGAACAGAGCCTCCCCTGGAACACTGCTAAGACAAGGCAACTGGGGAGAGGAGCAGAGAGGCTTCAGCCCCAGAGGAAAGGAACCCTTCCTCCCATGCCCCTGCACAGGCTGGGAACCCTGCCTCATTGCTCTGCTCTGCTCCAGCCGCTGTGAGCACTCTGAAGGCAGGACTCCACTTTTATTCCTAGCCTCCTGGTTATCCACAAGGACGCTGAAAGCAGACTACCTACTAGGAATCCAGGCTAGTTGTGCTGCCTTAGGCAAGTGACACTTCTCCATGCTTCAGCCCCCCATCTGTTGTTAAATGGGCTAATAAACAGTGCCAGCCTCCTAGGGTCATTGTGAGATGAAAAGAAATGATGCTTGTCTTGGTTCATAACAAAGATACTGGCTGGCTCAGCCTGAAACAGAGTACACCCTCAAGGAAGGAGTATGTTAATTAAATTAATAAACGAAAAGGCTGGGGAGGAGGTGGCCTCAGATCCCAGTGGAAGGACATAGGTATTAGAAGCAGGAGTAGACCTAAGGTGTCTTGCTTTAATATGGGAACTCTGCAAGATGGGCCAGGGACTCCTGCCCTTTGAAAGGAATAGAGGCTGGGGAGACGATGGCTAAAGGCTCAGACAGGCATCAGTTGTTGACTGACCTCACTTCCTCTGCTGGAACCCTCCGCATCCCCCACCCTGCAGCTGTTTCACTACTTGTTATGAGCGTTGTGAATTCCCAGAACCCCGGCACACCCAAATTTCAGTGTCAGGGCAGAACTGTGTCCTGCAGCTAATAGGAAGTACTATGGGATTACGGTATCTGCTCTTTCAGATTATAGCGGCCACTTGGGCACTCTATTAGTGGGAGAACTGGGGGAGTGGCTGCATGACCATCCTTCACATCCAGTCTCCCGCTGCCCTGCTATGGTTCTGGTCAACCTCTCCCTTCCCCAATCCGTGGATCTCTTTCCTGGGGAGAGGAGGCTTCCCCAGGGGAAGCATTCAGCCTGAGATACACACTGGACAAGAGCTGAGGAGCTAAGTAAGGGTGGCTGATGAGAATTGGTGGGGATGAGAAACTTTGTCTAGGCAGGGTTCATGAAGCAGATAAAAGTAGAGTATGTTTTGGGAGGAGGAAGAGAGGACCCAATGGGAGTGGGGGCTGTTCATCAATGCTGGAGTCTTCCCCACTGCCCTAGATCACCCAGCCCTCTGGGACCGGACTTGTACTCTTTGGAGCTCTTGTGAATCCCATGCCTTCCAAAGCACACAGAGAACCTGGGGGAGGTGTCAGAGGAGGGGACACAGAGTTGGAGAAAGCACTGGAGACTCAGCCCAATGAGGAAAGGGAAAAGGAATTACAGACTGTGTCCAAGTCTACAAGAATTAATTACTCAGAAGGACCAGCTGTTCTCCATAGTCAGCAAGGACAGAACAAGAGGAAACAGGCCCAAAGGACTAAGATTTAGATTTAGATATTCAGAAGGATTTCCCAGCAGCACATATAGCGGAGGCCTAGAGATCTTAAGAAGGGTGTGTGGGGTGAAACCTCAAGAAGTTCCTCATAAATGGAGGCAGGGGTGACATGTAGAGCAGCGTGAAGGCAGGGGAATGGACACCTTGACCTTTCTGCTGTGAGTATTGAGTTCAAGCATGGCTCCTGACACCAGGGCAGGGCTAGCTTGCGGAGCGTGTAACCTATGCACACACACAGGGCCCCACACTTGGTTTAATGCTCTGCTATTACCATCCTGAAATTCAGAATAATATTCTTAATGATGTTTAAACAAAGGACCCAGCATTTTCATTTTGTACTGGGCCCCACAAATTATGTGGCCAGTTCTGCACCACGGTGAGTAGAGAGAAAAAGAAAGGGAGGAAAACTTTGCTCCACTTAAATCGTAGTGGGAGAATTAGATTAGGCAGCCTAGGGACTTTTTCAACTCGAGAGACATGAAAACAATAGAACAAGGTACCCGAGGAGGGAGAATGGTGGGTCTCCTTTAAGGGAGACATGGGGCAGTTACCTGTAATTTCCATTTATCCATCTATTCAACATATGGGAGAGATTCTCAGTTTTGTGGGCTAAATGGAATCCAAGTTTTGCCTGAAGGAAAACAGAAAGGAAATGACCTCTGTAGGTCTTCTTCAGCTCAGAGCAGAAGGCACTAGGGTGTCCTGAAAAGGGCAGTAAACCGTGGGTCAAGGGGCCTGGGTTCCAGGCCTGGATCACTTCTCTAGGCCTCAATTTCCTCCTCTGTCCGCTAAGGAGTTTAGGTCAGATAATCCTGAAGGTCCTTCCCAGCCTCACATGACCTTTTCGGCTCTAAGATTCAGAAACGATGTGCTCCCAGACCCTGTCACTACCACTCAGGTAAAAAGGCAATTTGGTTGGTGCCGAGGTTTGGGGTGGGGGTAGCCAGAGCTCTATGCAGCACCTCAGGAAGAGGCTGGCAGACACGGGCCAGATTCCCAGACCTTGAGCCGCCAGGTTATCTTCCTCTTCCTCCCCAGCTCTTCCAGATCTCCTCTAGATAGGTTTGTCTGCTCCCTGCCCGCCCTGAGCCCTCATGATGACTCACCTCAGAATGGAACCTCTTGAGGAGATTCCAGCTGTCAAAACCCACACAGATGTTTGGTTTGTTTGGAGGGAGGGAGACAGAGGTGTGGGGTAGGAGAAAGAGCACTGAAAGAGGAGTCAGAAGACCTGAGGCTTCGCTAGGTGACAGTGGAGTGGCCTCTATTTCCTTATCTGCTCAAAAATGAGTAATCAATATGGCCTGTTCTACTAATAGCTACATGAGGGATTATTACACAGATGAATATATAGCCACTGGAGAGGGCTGTAAAGTATGAAGCAAACATTTTGAAAACATTAAAGAAATCCCAAATATGCATGGGGTAAAATAAACAAATAAATTCTGCAGAAGAGTTTATAACAAGAAGCAGCTGTACCCATCCCCAGACCCTCTTGCTGGGGCCAACTCTCTTCTCAAAGTTTCAGCTAGGGCCGGCCCGGTGGCACACTGCTACAGTGCGCCACTTGGGAGTGCGGCGGCGCTCCCGCCAAGGGTTCGGATCCCACATACAGACCGGTTCCCGCTCACTGGCTGAGCGAGGTGCGGGCGCGACGCCGAGGGTTGCGATCCCGTTGCCGGTCCCGGTCCGGTACCGGCGCGACACTGAGGGTTGCGATCCGTTGCTGGACACGAAAAAAGACAAAAAAAAAAAAAAAAAAGTTTCAGCTATTAGTTTCTCTGACATTTCCTTCAATAACTCTCAATAATATGTGTTCACTGCTATCTCTAGATTTGAAAGCTTCAGGATTTAGGCCACTTAGATTCTCTCCCTCTAATTATTGATCATTATACTATTATTTTGTAAATTTAAATAATATATCCAAACCTTTAGTTCCTGTTTTATTAATATCAGACAGTGTCTCTTGACTCTTCATTAATTAAGGATAGTGACACCCTACCCTTCCCTGGAACTGCAGTAAGGGAAGACATGTCAGTGAACTGAGATGAACCGTCTTGTTGTTGGGGGATGTTCAGTTGAAAGTCCTGATGGTAGAGATGCTTGAGGGCCTTGCTGAGATTTTGGAAGGCCCAGGCATCTATAGGCATCAAGACTTTTTCCCACTGTATCGAAAAGCAGGGCCTGAGCTTGGGTGAGGGAGGGCATAGTTGGCTGGTAACGGGGTAGGGGTCTGGCAGACTCTCGGGTGGTGCTGAGAGGACCCTTGCTGCCTGGGGACAGAGTTTGAGGGGTTAAGG